ACTTTTATAGAGAGGAACACTGAAGCTCCAAGAGATTAAATAACTTGCCCAAGGTCACAAAGCTAATACGTTGCAGAGTCGGGATTTGAATCTAGTTTTGTCTGACTCCAAAGCCCATACTGCTTCTGACATTTTCGTCTCAATGATGTAACTATAGCAACCTTCTTGGGTTTTCATTTCACCTTAATCTCTAACATAGTACTTAAATATGTGTCCTGGCTGTGTCTCTATAACTTCACAAAGGGATAATTTCCCCAGAAACCTCCTTTGTCTTTTCTTTGCCTGCATTTACTTCCCATTCTTGCACAAACTATTCTTTTTTAGGTTAAATCACTTGGCTGGCCCTAACAAACTGCCATACATTTCAGCAAGTAATAAACTTATACAGCAAAAGTTCTGTTTCCTTCGACACCTTAATAGCCACAGTTTTTGAGCACAGTATTATACTTTAGCTGGTGCTCACCAGCTTAGAGAAGCATTGTACTAGTGTCCAGTACAGTGCCTTTTATATAGTAGTCACAGAGTGAGGACTATTTGTTGATTCATTAAGAAAATGTTTCTTTATTCCTCAGTTAATGTTCTAAATGTAAACAAAGAGACTTTAATGGCAGTCCAATTCTATGAGTGAATTCTTTCACATTATATTTTTTTGGGGGAAAATTTCTAAAGAATTAAGAAAAAGGTAAATTGAAATGCAACAATCTGTTTAAGATCCTAATTGACTAGCTTACAAATTAAAATTAAGAGCTTAAAGGGCTCAGTTTTAAAATACTGTCATTCTGGATAACTTTACAAGTGCTTCTTTCCCTGTCTATGGGGAAAAAGAAAGACTGCAAAAACATAATAAAACACAGATAATTGTTTTGCTTATGGTAAAAGCAAAGATGGTAAGAATGGTTAAGACTAAGGATGACTTTTTCCCTCTGTTTTTATATATATATTACAGTTTTTCTGCGGTAAGTTTGTGTTTTTATAATTATGGTAACTGATCAAACTCTGGATAAACTTTGGATTTTTAACACTTGCTATATAGTGTAGCTTTATTACCCTTAGATATAATCCATAGGAACTGAATATTCATTAACTCAAGCATGTGCCTTCTAGAACAATTTGTTACATAATGCCAGCACATTAAACATAATTATTTTTCTTTCCATTCACAGAATGTTTTTCTTGCATTAGGTGGACCTGTCTCTATTTTTGCATTATTTTCAAGTAAGTCCAAGTTTCTTGTATATTCCCTATGGAACAATGATTCTCAATCTTTTCTTGGAAATAAGCACAAGAATGGTATTTGCCCCTGATATAGCCCCAGTTTATATGTCTTTCAACTTTATGTATGTTACCTTTTCAATGAGATTAAAATACCTCAATCACAGTAGAATCCAAATGGAATGAGCTATATTATGTAGCAGTAAGTTCCCTTTTCAATGAGATTAAAATACCTCAATCACAGTAGACTCCAAATGGAATGAGCTATATTATGTAGCAGTAAGTTCCCTACCAATGGATGTATTCAAAGCAAAGACCTCCATAAAGGAGAATCCCATATTGGGTGGGAGGTGAATTTTATGGCCTCCTTCCTATTTTATGATTTTAAAATAGTTTTTTGGACAAATTTACTTTAGTAATACTGCGAATTACATACTGGCCTCTGCTGTGTCAAGTGCCTTTCCCAGTTCACTATTCAAATCAACCCAGAGAAGATGCTCTTCTGATCCAGTTTAATTTAGCCAGCTATCAGATTACTTCTTGTGGAAACCAAGAATATTAACAGTTGCTCGCTATTTGAAATGACTGAAGTGTGTTGAAATAATGCAGTCAGCAAAATGTCACTTATGGCTTACATATGGATCTGTTGCAGCCTGTAAAACATTGTCTCCATGAGGGACAGCCAAAATGAAGAGTTATGTGGGAGTAATAAAATATGATAACTAGGCCTTCAACCTCAAGTACAAACCCAGCTGCGCATGTACATACACATCCAAGGGAAAGCCTGCTGATAATAAAAAGCAAAGAAAAACCCAATCATGTCCAGCGTGTGTGTGCACTCCGCCGCAGGACTGGTCGGGGAACTGTCCTTTCAGCACCACAGCAAGAAACCGGAGTACAAGCTTAAACACAGGCAACCCAAAGCTGGACCAGGAAAAACATTTGATAAGAGTCCTACAAGGAAAGCAAAAGCAACCGTATGGTTGTTTTTAAGGATGCTGTATTCCACTTGATTATCCTTTATTAATTTACAATAAAATACTCCAAGGGTTTTGATAAAAGTTGACAAACCCTAAATGAAAACCAAAGCTGCTCAAACCGAACCCAAGAAACCAACAACTGACCTGCATCATTACGAACTGCTTTGCAATACCCACCACCAGCTCTACTCAGAAAAACATTTGCATATACCCTGAATCAGATGTTCAGAGAACATAGAACATGCTTACAGTCCTCTCCAGGGAGGACCTCAGTTTCTAGGACAGGGAATGCGTGCTGAACACCAAAGAATCGCTACCCACAACCACCACCCCACCAACCAGCGATCAAATCCTCTTTCAGGGAGAAATGAAGGCCTTATGGGTCATGAGTTCCAAAGAAAAATGCTGCAGTATTTCAAGAACCAGGTTACATGTAATGTGCTACAAAGCATTCAGCATTTTAAGTCTGATTCCCCCAAGATTTCTATCAGGACGGTACCGCGTGGTAATGTTATTCAGCCATTTGCATTACAAATCAAAAAAAAAAATTTTTTTTGAGAAACGAAGAAAAGCACACCCCCCCCCCATCTTCTAATGCACGTGGAGAAAAGAGAAGTACAGAGGGATTTTGAGACAGTGAAAAACCTACCACACCCGAAATCTCCATTGGAAAGCTAAAACGCCCCCCAGCCCTAACACACTGCTACCTCTCTCTAAAGGCTCTCCAGGTTCAAACTTGAGAAACCAGGTATAAAAAGCACTCTCCCCCTTTACCCCCAATGCCCCCACCCACACTTCCTGCTTCCATCCCTGACTCTCTAGTGCCCACTGTGCATGAAAAGCAGTTTTTCTTGTGTGGTAGAGCTTGCTCCATGCTAATCATTTCTCCCTCCCCCTGAATTTAGCCAGATGCAATCCAAAGTTTCTTCTACCCTTCCCCCAAACAGATGACATCCATTTATTATGAACGCTGATGGGAAATCTTGGAATCTCCGGATATAAAATGTATTCCCCCATGCTTCAAAAACTGCAGTGTAAGTGAGGAAGAGGGCACAGGGTGGAGTAGTCGGATGGAATGCATGGTTTGAAGAATCTTATTTATCTGGCTGAAAAATGGTTCCCACTCCATCCCAGCTCGAAGCTAGGGCCCCTGAAAGGGTCTGACAGTCCTGGCTAACCCCGGGAAAGTTAACGGCAAGTCTCCACCGGTGGTTGCTGCTGGCAACGGAGGGGATGGAGCCGAGCTCTCAGGAGAAATGCAGAGGCTTTGCGGTGCCCCCAGATAACAAGTGAGAGCTAGAGAGGAGGGTCCAAGCCCAAGGAGCTGGGCAAACAGTCCTGTACCCCAACGCTAACAAGAAGCCAAGGGTGCTGCTGCTGATGGTAAGGTGGGGGAGGGAGAGGAGAGGAACAAGCTCTGCATCGGGTGGCGTAGGAATGGGGGTGGGGTGGGGGAAGGGGGTATTCTCAAAGTGACATGCTCCCAAATGCAGGAATCCTAGCCTGCCGAGGAAGGTCCCGGGAGCCCCCAACACAACCCCAGAGCACCCTGTTGGGAGGGGGACGAACGCATCCGAGTAAAGGACAGGGGGAGTCGGGAGTGCTGGCTGCCGGAAGAACCCAAGAGCCCTTGGCTTCTGGAGTTGGTAGCAATGTGAAGCCAGTGAGGGAGAAGGATGCAGTAAGACATGGGGGAGGGGGAGAGCAGAGGGGCTGCTGTAGGAAGATCCCGACAGTGCTGCCCTTCCCAGTGCAAGCCGGCTAAGGACCCCAACTCTGCCCTGGCACTGGGGGAGGGGTGGAGGGGCTGCACCGTGGAAGGGGCACCAAGGGCGAGCCGTGTCCCTCACTGTAGCGGAGACGCAGAGAGCAGGGTGCCCGGCGTCGGGGCTGGTGGTCCTCAGTTCTCCTAAGAGACCCCCGGTACACACGGTAGAAGGAAGCAAGACTTCCAAACACCTGCCCAAAACAAGGAGGGCAGAACCCCAGCTCCGCGGCCCCTCGAGCCCCGCCGCGCACTCTGCGGCAAAGCCCCTGACTGGAGATGGGCGAGCCCCGCTCAAGGGTCCCGAGGCGAGAAGGGAAACCCGGCGGGCTGGAAGCAGCGCCAGGACGGGGGCTCTGGGGCGACTTACGGCAGCGGCGGCGGCGAGGGAGGCAGCGGCGGCCCTAACGCGGGGCCCGGGAGGCGCGGCCGGACTGCAAAGGCGCCGAGGCTGCGGCGGGCGGGACTGCGGTGGGCGCCATCTTGGAGCGCTCCCCGCGCCCGCCCCCCGCGCTGCCAGAGTCCTTGCATAATTGATGACTCGCGCCCGCCGCGCGCCACCGCGCGCGCGCCCCGCCCGCCGGGCCCCCCGCCCGCCCCGCCCCCGCGCCGACCCCTCCGCTCGCGCCCCCTGCCCGGGCCGGCTCCCGCCCGCCCGCACGCGCCGCCGCCGCCGCCGCCGCCGCCGCCTCCGCCCCGCGCCCCCACCCGCACGCGCCCCTGCAGCCCACCTACCCCCGCAGGGCGCGCCCGCTCACCCGCAGCGCGCCGCCCTCCCGCTGGCTCTCAGGTCCGGGTCCCCGCGCCGCCGGAGCGGATCAGGGGCAAGAGGGAGCAGGGCGCCGGCAGGGGGCGCCGCGCGGGAGCGCCAGCGAGCGTCCCCGGGCCCGCCTCCGCGACGCCCCCGCCGAGCCGCCGGGAGGGGCCGCGGGCTGAGGGCCCGGACCCGCGGCGAGACGCCGGCTGGCTGCCCGCCAGCGCCGGGCGGCGAGACCCGAAAGCTGTCGTGGTGACTCGCGTGCTCCGTCATTGCCAACTCTTACCTTTCTCCTGCGCCGCGACAGTGCCGCGCTCAGTGAAGTTTCTGACACCCCAAAACACAGGGAACTCAATTTACAGGGTCTTGGGCCCGCTGAAAAAGAAAGAAGTCAATCAGCGGCAGGTGGAGGCTGGTGTTTCAGCCCACGGGGACCTGCTGCCAGGAGCGGGGAGGCGCTGCCTACCTGACAGCCCCCAGGCCACCTCAGTGTCTCCGATCCTCAGTCTGTCCATCTGCAAGGTAGGCATGAGGGTTTCAACCGCTCATTCCACCCTCACGAGGATCTAGGTAATGAGCGCCAGAGCTCTTGGCACTTTGCTGTGCCTCTCCTCTACTTAATATTTTCCTACCACCAATCTCAAGAGGGAAAGAGGGTGGAACAACCCTCCAAACCTCGGTGTTATTGTCTGTAAAAGGAAACAAGCACAGTAGCAACCTGATAAACTTCTTGTGAGTACTGATGGGGAGAATGCACTTCGCCCGTTGCTAACACAGCCAGGCACACAGTATGCTTATCACATAACGTGCCCTCTACAATACATTTTAAATTAGCTTTACTGGGGTATATTTGCGTGTGTTTCGAGCGTACAATTTTGTCACATGTGTACACTCATGAAACCATCACCACCAAGGTAATGAACACACCCATCACCTCCAAAAATTTCTCTTTGTACTCACTCGCTGCATCGCTCGCCCCCACACACCCTCTCCAGGCAACCACTGATCTTCTTTCTATTACTGTACATTGGTTTGCATTTTCCGGAATTTTAAATAAATGGAATCATACAGTACAAACTCTCTTTTTTGTATGGCTTCTTCCACTTGGCATAATCTTTTGAGATTTTCAGTCGTTGCCTACCAAGAGTTCTTTTCTACTGCTTAGTAATATTCTTTACGGGGATACAACACAATGTGTTTATCCAATCACCTATTGATGACATTTGGATTATTTCCATTGTTTGCCCATTACGAACAAAGCTGTTATGAGCATTCGTGTGCAGGTCTTTGTATGGATATATATGCTTTCATTTCTCATGGGTATAAATATCTAGGAATGGAATATCTGGGTCCTGTTTTAGGTGTATATTTAACGTGTTAAGAAAGGGCCAAACTGCCTTCCGAAATGGTTGTGCCTTTCCATTCCTACCAGCAGCATATGAATTTCAGTTGCTCTGCAGCCTCACCAACATTTGGAGTGATCAGTCTTTTGAACTTTAGCCATTTAAATACGTTCGTAGTGTTATCTCATTGTGGGTTTGTCTTCCATTTCACTAGTGACTAAAGATGTTGAACATCTTTTCATGGACTTGTCATCAGTAAATCTTCCTGGCAAAGTGTCTCTTCAAGTCTTTAGCCTATTTTAAAAACTGGTGGGTTTTCTCCTTGTTATTGAGTTTTAAGAGTATTGAGTTTTAAGAGTTGTTTAGATATCCTGGCTGGGCCCAGTGACACACGCCTGCTGTCCCAGCTACTCGACACTGAGCAGGAAGAATTGCTTAAGCCTGGGATTTCAGGTCCAGCATGGGCAACACAGAAGACTCCAATTCTAAATTTTTTTTAAAAAAGTATAGAGTTGTTTATATATTGTGGATACAAATCTTCTATCAGATATGTGATTGGCAAATATTGTTTCCCAGTATAGGCTTATCTTTTTATTCCTTTTACTCTCTTAACAGTGTTTTTCCGAAAGCAGAGGTCCTTCAGCCAGGTCCCCTGATGCACACTTGTAGTCCCAGCTACTCAGGAGGCTGAGGAAGAAAGATCGCCTGAGGCCAGAAGTTGGAAGCGAGAGTGTGTTATAATTGGGCCTGTGAATAGCTGCTGTACTCAAGCCTGGGCAACACAGCCAGAACCTGTCTCTTAAAAAGAAAAAAAGGTACACCTTCTTAATTTTTCTGAAGTTGGATTTGTTATTTTTCTTCTATGGATCATGCTTTTGGTGTCATATCTAAGTCATTACCCGACACAAGGCCTCAAACACTTTATCCTGTGTTTTCTTCTAGAAATTTTATAGTTCTAGAGTTTATATTTAGGTTTATAATCTATCTTGACTTGATTTTTGTATGCGGTATGAAATATAGTTCGAAGTTCTTTTGTTGTTTTGTTGCATAGATACATAGTCGTCCCCATACTTTTTGTTGAAAACACTATCCTGTCTCCACTGATTATCCTTGCACCTTTTCAAAAAATCATTTGCTCAAGTATGTAAGAATCTAGTTCTAAACTCTCCTGTTTCGTTGATATATTTGTCTGTCTTGCCACTAATACCACACTGCCTGGATTCCTCTCCCTTTGTAATGAATCTTGAAATCAGGTAGTTTCAGCCCTTGACTCAGCCCTTCTTTTTTAGTATTGATCTTGCTAGTCTACGTTCTTTGCATTTCCATACGAATGTTAGAATCACCTTGTCAAATTTCAACAAAAAGCCATTGAGATTTTGATCAAGACTGCATTGAATCTGTAGGTCAACTTGGGAAGAACTTATATCAAAACAAAATCAAATCTTGCTTTCCATGAACACTTTATTTCAGTCCTTTTTGATGTATCAATTTAATGTAGTTTAATTTTATAGTTTTTAAGATGTGGATCTTGTTCACCTTTCTGGGATTTCTTCCTAAATATTTCATATTTTTGATGTTATTGAATACTATTTTTATATGGCAATTTCTGGTTATTCATTGGTATTGTATAGAAATAGAATTAATTTTTGTATATTGCTCATATGTCTTGAAACTTTGCTAAATTCATTTAATACCTTTAGTAGAGATTTTTGTAGATTCCTTTAGATTTTCTACTGATGAACATACAATCTGCAAATACACAGTTTTTCTTCTTCCTCTCCAATCTGGATGTTGTTTTTTATTTTTTCCTTGCCTTTATGCACTGGCTAGAATCTCTAGTACAATGTTGAATAGAAGTGGTAAGAGCAGACGTCTTTGTTTAGTTCCTCATCTTGGGGGAAAACTTTCAATCTTTGGCCATTAAATGTGATGTTGGCTGTAGGCTTTTTCCAAATACCCCTTGTCATGTTGAGGAAGGAATCTTCTATGCCTGTTTGGCTGAGGGTTTTTATCTATAATGGATGTTGAATTTTGTTATTGCTTTTTCTGCATATGTTGTTTCTTTTTAGTCTGTTAATATAGTGGTTAATTTTCAAGTCTTAAACTCACATTCCTAGGATAATGTATTGATCAATGATTGTTGGTTTTGGTTTGCTAATATTTTGTTGAGAGTTAGTGCATCTGTGTTATGAAGTGTATTGTTCTGTAGTTTTCCTCTGATGACTTTGTCTAGTCCTGGTATCACAGTAATGCTGGCCTCATAGAATAGAAAATATTCCCTCCTGTTTGATTTTCTGGAAGAATCTGTGTGAAATTCACATTACATGTTCCTTAACTGTTCAGTAGATTTGCCTAGTAAAATCAGCTGGGTCTGGAGTTTTCTTTTTGGGAAAGTTTTTGGGTTTTAGGTTTTGGTGAGTTTTTTTGTTTTTGTTTTCGTTTGTTTTGTTTTGTTTTTTAAGGCAGAGTTTCACTCTTGTTCCCCAGGCTAGAGTGCAATGACGCGATCTCGGCTCACTGGAACCTCCACCTCCCAGGTTCAAGGGATTCTCCTGCCTCAACCTCCCATGTAGCTAGGCTTACAGGCACCCACTACCATACCTGGCTAATTTTTTGTGTTTTTAGTAAAGACGGGGTTCCACCATGTTGGCCAGGCTAGTCTCGAACTCCTGATCTCAGGTGATCCACCGCCTCAGTCTCCCAAAGTGCTGGGATTACAGGCGTGAGCTACTGCACCTGGGCTTGTTTTTTTGAAACAGGATTCTTGCTATGTTGCCCAGGCTGGAGTACGGTTGTGCTATCATAGCTCACTGCAGCCTCAACCTCCCGGGCTCAAATGATCCTCCCGTTCCTCCCGGGCTCAAATGATCCTCTCGATCCTCCTCCACCTCCTGAATAGCTGGGACCACAGGCATGCGCCACCATGCCTGGCTAAATTTTTCATTATTTATAGAGACGAGGTCTCACTATTTGCTCAACCTGTTCTCAAACTCCTGGGCCCAAGCAGTCCTCCTGCCTCAGCCCCCCAAAATGTTGTGATTACAGGCATGAGCCACTGTGTCCAGCTTGAGGTGACTACAATTTTGTTGTCTTTAATATAGGGATTTTCAGGTTTAAATTTCTTATTGGTAGTTGTATCTATCAAGAAATTTGCCTGTTTAATTTATATGGGCATAAAGTTGTTCATAGAATTCCTGTATTATTCTTTTACTATCTATAAAATTTGTAGTGATGTTACCTCTCATTCCTGATATTGGTCATTTGTATCCTCTCTCTGTCTCTGTCTCTCTCTCTCTCCCTCTGTTAATCTGGCTGAAGTTTAATCAACTTCATTGATAAAGATCTCCACTGATTTTCTGTGTTCTATTTTCTTGATTTCTACTCTAATCTTTATTATTTTCTTCCTTCTATTTACTTTGAGTTTCATTTGCTTTCTTTCCTCTAATTTTTTTTTTTTTTTTTTTTGAGACAGAGTTTTACTCTTTTGCCCAGGTTGGAGTGAAGTGGCACGATCTTGGTTCACTGCAACCTCCATCCCCACAGCCCCCTCCCCAGGTTTAAGTGATTCTCCTGCCTCAGCCTCCCAAGTAGCTGGGATTACAAGCACCTGCCACCACGCCCAGCTAATTTTTGTATTTTTAATAGAGACAGGGTCGGCTGGGCATGGTGGCTCACGCCTATAATCCAAGCACTTTGGAGGCCAAGGCAGGCGAATCGCCTGAGGTTGGGAGTTCAAGACCAGCCTGACCAACATAGTGAAACCCTGTCTTAAAAAATAAATAAATAAATAAATAAAGAGACAGGGTTTTGCCATGTTGGTCAGGCTGGTCTCAAACTCTTGACCTCAGGTGATCCACCCACCTCAGCCTCCCAAATTTCCCCTAATTTTTTAAGGTAATAGCTGAGGTTATTGATTTAAGACTTTTTCTTATTTCTAAAATAGATAACTACTGCTATAAATTTTTCTGTAAGTACTACTTTAGCTGCATCCCACAAGTTTTGATATATTGGATTTGCATTTTAATTTAGTTAAAAATACCTTTTAATTTCCCTTTTGCTTTCTCTTTGACTCCTGGGTTATTTAGAAGTATACGATCTAATTTTCAGATATTCAGGGATTTTCCCAATCACTTTCTGTTACCAATTTCCAATTTTAATGCATATAGTCAAAGAACAAGATTAATATGAATTGAATGTCTTCAGGTTTTTGAGACTTGTTTTATGGTCCAGAAGATAATCTATCTTGGTAAATGTTCTGTATTTTGTTTGTTGTTTGGTTGGTTGGGTTTTGGTTTTTGTTTTAATTTCCAAGACAGAGTCTCTCTGTAGGTTAGGCTGAAGTTTAGTGGT